TTGTAAAATACGAAAATACCGCGCTCCATTGTTTGTGTAGAGGGCCGCTAGCTTCATTTGGTGCAACTGTATAAGGACTGAAGTATAAATATCAGTGCCTGGTCAGGGGATAGGGGGTGCATGTGTGACAATGGCGTCGACTTTCAGAACAGGGCAACATCAGGGGATGGGGGTCCCAGGACTGTGTCCCTTGTAGAGGTGTTTGGAAAACCTGTCAGGGTACCGTGAGCATCGGACCAGATCTAGGCTCATAGCCGAGTCCCCCGAGGGTTTTCTTCATTGGAAAAGCTGGATGGAGGTCTCTGCAGAAACTGTGATCACATACTTCAATACTCAAGTGTGGCTGCCAGACCAGCAGTGTCAGTGTGCCCCTGGGAGACGCAAGTTCCTATGTTCATCCCGCACTATCAGTTTAGCAGGTGACTTGTGTACATATCACAACACGAGAAGAAACACCAGTCTGGAGAAACACAGGCTTGGTCTTAGTCTGATGACTGTCTCAGGTCAGGTAAGGATGACATGAGTCATCATGAAGTGTGTGTTCTAATCAACCCACCTTTAAAATGGATGTGGGCTTGACACACAAGTATCTATGCCACTGTGAAAATGGTTTTCAAATATGTAAGAAATGTAGGTCCCCAGATGCCTAAAGATGAACCAAACTTGATGAATATTATTCAGTACTGATTCTTTAGTTTTTACTTCTGGACAATGAAGAGTTGTGTTTGTCATTTTTTTTATTTGTTATTTTTTTATTTTTTAACAGCTGAAGTGATTGGGCTCCTTCAACTCAGCTTCCCTCCACACACACCGATGTACTGGGGTGTAAGTAATTCCCCCAAACTCGCATTGAGTAAAAACCCTCAAGGAGACAATTCAATTTCCAAATGTAAATTCCAGCCACATGTAGAGGGAACATGATTGCTACCATCCCCTGGTGAGCAATGAGGCTTCCTATAAACATGATTGCCTCTGACACTGTTGCTGTTCTCCGGAAGTGGCTTTTCAACGGTAAAAGAATCGGCTTCTGTTGGGAGAGGATTTTCTGGTGCAAAGTTGAAAGTTTATGCTTGTTATGCATGAGTTTGAGGGAAGAAAGACAGAAACCACGAGGAAAGACATGAATGTTCAATGTCATGTGGTTTGGAACAGCATCCTCCCCCCCCCCCCAGCCTTAATTATGATCTGTGTGAGCCTCTTACCACAGCCTAGCAGGACGCCTGTACCCACTGGGGTCTCTGTGCATCCCTCACCTTCAAGCAGTTGCTGACACCACCAGGAGGGAATATGCCCTCCCTCGTGGGCTGAACTTGTAAGGTGAAACTTTGGATTTCGGTTAGAATAGCAAATTCAGATTTTAGATACTTTGCTACAACAGCAAATATTTGGTGGCCAATTATGATGTGTCTGATAGGCCAAAAAAAAAAAAGCACCAAACTCATTCTATCCAGTAAATAGTACACAATTTATATCTGGTAATCCTTGTTTTGAGGAAATGTTGGTCTTTCAATAGTAAAAACTAAATAGTTTGTGATATTTATTATTTGTAATTTGTGTGTAGTTTTGAAGGTATGTTTACTTCTATGCCTGTGGAGGCCAGAGGTTAAGCGCAGGTTTCATTCCTAAAGAGCTGCTCTCCTCCTTGTGTTTTGAGACAGGGCCTCTCACTGGGACCTGGGATTTACTGATTAGGCTAGGCGGGTTGACCAGCTAGTCCCCAAGATCCTCCACTGTCTGCCTCCTCAGTGCTAGGATTACAAATGTGCACCGCCACGCCTGGCTTCTTACAAAAGTTCTGTAGATCAAACTCAGGTCTTTATGCTTGCAAGGCAGGCTCTTTGCCTACCGAGCTGTTTCTTCGGCCCTGGTAGGTTTAGACATTAAATCAAATTGATAAGAGCCCCAACTCTACCAAAGTCTAAACATGATCACTTCCTTGGGTTTGCCATAGCCCCCCCCCCCCCATTCATGGGAAGGTTTTCCATGAAGTCCAGCCATGGTTCTGAAACACCTGTTCATTATACACCGAAGGACCATGGCCAGTGGCAAAGGGGACTGTGCAGGTTGGGAGGGGATCCACCGAATTTTGAGTCTAGTGGACTCTGACATTGGCTGGACCGAGTGCCCATCCCTCCTAGTCCCAGCTTTGCATTTGTGTAGTGGGCAGAGCTAGATTACTCTTCAAACTCTAGTGTTACCAAGTAACAGTTGGTCTTATTTATAAAGGTCCGGGAAAGATACACTTTCCAGATCTGTGTTTCTGCTGGAAGTGGCACCTGTAAGCCTGCAAGGAATGCTGGGGGTTGCCTATGCGGTCTTAGGTCAAGCGCTCTCAAGTGAGTGGGACATCCTGCATCATTTGCAGTGACCAAAGGAACCGCTGATAGGATCACTCTGACCCCGAGTGCTGTGTTCAGAGGGTGCCCACCACTCAACTGTGTCACCAGAGAGTTTTCTGAGCCCTCAGCACAGGTCTGTCTTTTGTACTGGATGCTGCCACCCCAACAGCAGGGTATGTTCTAATTATTATTTTCATTTCATGTTGGCAGAAAGATACTTTGAGGGAAGTGCTTCCTTTGGGGGGCTATTCAGATCTCCAAACTTCTGGCTCAGGGCTTCTCAGCACATATGAAGAGCATATTGGTTTTCCCCTAAACCATCCTCTGTACAGCACTTACCCTACTGCTTACGGGACCCACGGCGTGTTTCCTCCATTTTTCCCTCCCTCCTGGGATGGGGGACCTGCACAGAAGGGGAAGTCTACAAAGGGCAAAGCTAGCATATCCAAATAAACATTGCCTAGTTCTTATGCCAGGCACGCGTCACTGGCCGCCGGGTCCCAGTGAAGAGTTAAACAGAAGCTGCAGGCTTACACAATCAAAATATGCACCGTATTTGACTTTTGTTTCCTTCATATCAGCTCTTTGCTATAAGAACTTCTTGAAATGACATATACTGGTAAGACATTGTTTTGTGTTGTGTGTAATGTTTTTCTAGGGCTCAGGGGTGGGAGCCACATCTCCTGGATTGCTCACGGTAACAGTAGTAAGGTTCTCACAGTGAACAGTCCTCCTTCTGAGTTGAAATAACGTGGTGTTGAGAGAGTAGAAAAAGACAAGAATCTCAAGCTTATAGCAGTGCTGTGCTATTGACAATCAAGCTCTGCGTCTTGGCTTCTGTTCTGTGTTCTTAAATACTGGATTCTAGGCCATGGTGGGAGGCTAGGTGGCAGAAGCCGTCCAAATGAAAACAAAAACAGAACAAAAAGTCCTCGAATAAAACAAAACCCCAAACTGGAAAATTAATATATATATATATATATATATATATATATATATATATATATCATGGCTATTATAAATAACAGACTATTTTTAAGAGGTACAGATGAGTAAGTATAAGTTCATCAGGTCAGGCCATTTTGCATGTGAGCAGTCCCTTAAAATCTGTAGAGCTCAGGAAGTTAGAATTGCAAGTGGACAGTCCGAGGTCTTATCAAATTTATTCTGGAAGCTGCACATTGCTGGTTGCTGCCCTGACTTTATAGGATCTGAAATATGGTATTTACTCCATCCGAACATGTGGTAAAGTCATCAAGGAATGTTTCTGGTCCTCTGCACAAATCCTCGTTCTGAAGTCTAAAATAACTGGTAAATTTATGCAGCTTTTGAGTTCCACAAGGGGTTAAGACATTACAGGTACAAGTCAGGTGACCATTATAAATGTTACCCAAATAAAAGCCCCAAACAGGAAGCCAAAAAGCAGGTCCCTAAGGGAGGCAGTTTCTTAAATGATATCATCTGTCAAGTTTCCAGCATCTTGTGGTGGGGACGCAAAAAAGGTTTTCGGGGTGCTGGGGCATTATGGCCTCATTAACTGCGGCTCTCCTGCACACACAGCGCAGGGTTTCACTGTAGTAAGCTGCAGCTAGTTCTCGCACACTAGCAGGAGATAAATACTGAAGCAAATACTAATAGCCGTCTACAGGGGCTCCATTCCATCCCTGATAAACTCCATCCTGGTGCAGTCAGACAATAACAACACGTAGAGCCAATCTTTCTTTGCAAACCTGTTCCTGGAATCGTGTGTGTGTGTGTGTGTGTGTGTGTGTGTGTGTGTGTGTGTGTGTGTGTGTGTGCTGAAATCAATCGGCATCTGCAGTTATTGTGAAAAGGACCAGAAATTATACGGTCTGTGTGTCTGGGCATTCGAAACAGTTTGAAGGGGTAGCAGTTTCAGAAGTCCTGACCAAACACTGAGGCCTACCTTCCTGTTGAACCAATGATCTGAGAAGGCCACACCGAGAATTGAGAATTCAGGTGTCCCACCTACATCGATGCTCTGCCCCGGTCCCTTCCCTAGAGCAAACCTGACAAGGGCCCTGAATTATGAATGCACTGTTTGAGATGTGGGACACCGTAGAGTGTGGGCTCTCACACCATGTAACCTCCCATTAGGGACTGGGTCCTGAAGACCAACCCAAGGGTACCAAACTAATATTCAATTATAACCCTAATCTTAAAATCCATTTTTCACAAGAACTAAAAGAGAAACTTTTAAACATATTTTGGGGTTATTGGAACGGGCAGAATCAAGAACTATCTTGTTTTCTAAGAATAAATGAAAACAGCAAGTACCATAGTTTCTCTATTTGGGGGCAGAAAGACATGAGGTTTCTTTCTTTCTTCTTCATCTTTTTTTAAAATGCTGTTTTATTTTAAACCTGGGTGTTTGAATTTTACTTTTACATAGCTGAATTTAGTATATTCCCTCAAAACATAATACATTTTTACTCCATAGCTTAAGGGATCCATCAGATAAAATGTTGGTCTTTCATCTTTATTACCCTCCCATTAAAAGGAAGGAAACCGGGATTCACTTCAGTTTAGAAGAGGCAATTTAGCTGGTAATGTCCTCAGTCCCGAAGCCTTTTCGGGGGGGGGGGGTGTGCACTATCACCGGGATTTCACACATCTATCTGCATAGGAAGCCACCGAGCCTTTCAGACACATACTATGTTAAATTTAATAATAGTCTTTGATTAGATTATTTTATTACAACATTTTTCCATTACCAGTCATTTCCTGAGCATACGAACATTCATAAAACCTGCCTCCCCCTCCCCGTTTGTTATGTTTGTATACGGAAGAGCCAGCATAGTCTCTCCTGCCACAGTGTCTAGGTCTGAAAGGGACAGATTAATAACTGCGCACCACATTGGACGAGCCTTCCTCGTCCGCTGCGCCAGCAACCCTTTGCTGTGACGAGGACACAAAGAGCCTCGCGTTAGGCTGCTACCCTTCTTCATAACTCAAAAGCGTCACAGTGGCAATAGCCTCCAGTGCTATTTGTCTTTAGTGCAGTTGTGACACATAGGCATGATCCATAATTTGGCAGCTATTTACCGTGACATTTCCCTTCAGTGCGGCCATAACATTCAGTGAAGCCATTATTTGGTTCCATTTACCATATAAATTGTATTGTTGTGCATGCATGCTAGCAGCTACATTAGGTACCTGGAAATGAGTAAATCTTGTAAAATAGATACTAACAGCTACTCAGAAACAGGAGCTCTCTGCTCCTCCTCAGATGCAAGGAAAGAATTAAACCTAGCCCCAACTTTCACAGAGTTCTTTTAATTGCATTTCCATTTATTGAGCACATTTGATGTACTGAAACCCAAGACTGAAAAATAATCCCACAGGCTTCACCTTCAATTAGAAAGGCACCGTGGGGTTTTGATTCCGGGACAAAAGTGGCAGGCAGCCCTTGGACACCGAAGGTGAGGGGCTAGCAGATGAGCTGTGGTGCGGTCTGAGGAGAAAGGCGTGTAGGCTGATAGACGGGACTGCAGCGACTCACACTCATGTCTCTCTAACGCAGAGAAGCAACATGGGAACACAGGATACCTGACTGCCATTCCATTTCCGTGGTCAGAGGTCAAGCCTTCCACACCAAGCTTTCAAGGAGAAGCAGACGGTTGATTTTAGAAGACTTGGGTGTCTACCGTGTTTGGAACTATGTGACTTTTGCTCCTTGGGGACAGGAGTTGTCTTTAACCTTTCCCATGCTAGAGTGAGCCTCTCCTGTGATCCCCGTTACTGGATTCCATGAGCCTCCTGAGGAGATAGCACAGAATTTTCCCTTCCTCTGCACACAATAGTTTTCACAAAGGCCCCCTAAACCGTAGCTTTGCCCTCCCAAACCCAGGGCTTCCTGTAGACATTTCTTCTTGGGGCACGAACGAACATGCTCTTCACACTCAGTCTTACCAGGGTGTGAATTCAAGCCATCAAAGAGTAGATGCGTCATTAAGACATACATGTTTGCTGATTCGCTTTCCCAATTACTTTCCAGAATTTGGACTTGGCTCCCAAATGTCTATTTAGATAATCTGGGCTCCTCCGTCAGCATATGGACCGACCTTGAGAATGGCAGCCTGACCCAAACTACCTGCTCACCTGTGGAGCACTTAGGAGCAGCTGTTTCCAAAGCAAAGGAGCCTTGGTGAGCTATTTGAAGGCTGATTTTAAAAAAATCTCATCAAGCTGGGGACATACTGACTCGATCAGGTCTCACATCAGGAATTAATTTACTTCCCTGGAACAATAAAATCTGGGATGAGACCATCCATGACTAAAGAACCGAATGTAAATGTTTTTTACCTCAAAGCTGTAGAGAGAACTTTTATTGAGGTGCATTATTTTTACTCCCAAGGAGAGGTGGGGAACAGAATTCATTAACACTATACTTTTGTTTTTAAGATACATTTTGCTTATTCTAAGGCATGGAGAATTCGTTTTCTTTCTCTTTTGGTTTGTCATTGTTCTGCAGTCATAGCTTACTGCTGTCACAATGAGGTAATTCAACCACAAGTTTTCCAATATTTTTCCCAGTGTACATGTAGTCAACAGCCCGGAATATGGAGTCCAGGCCAATGAACCTTCCCTCTGGAGCCAGGTGTCCCAAGTCCACCTCACAGACCAGGTCCCCACGAGTGTACAGCTCCAGCAAGTGCCCCATGGCCGCCTGGTATTTGGAGAAATAGTGGTTCAGAAAGAACCCATGGAGACTGGCGGACTTCTTCAGGAGCTTGGCCGGCAGAGCTCCCGCTTTTATAGGTGAAAGACCCGCAGGGCTTTGGTAGCCAGAGATGAACCCAATTATTATCAAACGCCCTTTGGTGGCCAAAGCATCCAAAGCCAGGTCAAACATGGCTCCCCCAACAGACTCGTAGACTACATCAACACCATCAGGGTACTCCCGCTTCAGGACTGCCTGCACGTCCTCTGCTTTGTGGTTGATGGGGCGATCACACCCGATGGATTTCAGAAAAGCTAACTTGTCGTCCGACGAGCAGGTCCCAATGACATGGCACTTGGCTATCTTGGAGAGCTGCACAGCAAACTGGCCTGTGCCCCCGGCGGCCGCTGTCACCAAAACCTTCTTCCCCTCTGACAGTGCTCCTAGCTCTTTCAGGCTGATGTAGGCAGTGGTACCACTAACGATCAGAGTGAGATACTCGGGTTTCACTGAAGGCACGGGAATGGCAATGTTAGCAGGTACCACTGTATACTCAGCAAACGAGCCCGGAGCCACATAAGCCACAGTCTGGCCCACTGTGTACCTGGCGCTAGCAGACAGACCTAAGGCCACCACCTCACCAATCCCTTCAAAACCTATGTCAAAGGGGGGCTTCACGGACGGGTCATAGCGGCCAGCAGAGTAGTTGATGTCTGAGGCGTTAATACCAACGAATCTAGAAGAAAACAGACAGATGCATCAAGAGTCTTCCTTCGTTAGAGGCCTTCATATTCAGCTTAGGGGGGAAAGGCCTTCCTAGTCCCAGTGAATGTATAAAAGCTCCTAAACTATGGGACCTGACAGAATCAGAGAGAATAATTCTTGCTGTTTAGCTGGGGAAAAAAAAATTTGAACGTTTATTAACTGGAATTTGGGCAGATTTTATTCTTTTATAGCTTAGGAATAATTTCATATTATTGTAATCAGCAAGTGACGTATTTGTATTTCCTGTGCCGCTTACTTCTGTCCTCTTTCAAACGGAAGGGGGAGGAAGAACAGCCAAGAAGCCCTCACCATGCACAAAGTTCACTGGAACCTTGAGTTGGAAATTAATTGGTCTCTTGACAGAGATGTTAAAAACAACAGAGAGATAAAATATACCCGGAGAAGCACACTTGTATTGATTCTGGCAACAATTTAACACTTCAGATAATAATAGTAATGACAATGATACTGTTAAAGATTGACGGGCATGCAAGGTCATCCATGCCACATGTTACTGGCCCGTTGTTTGAAACGCCCAGGCAGATTTCCCTCTGATGTAACTATGCCCAGCAGGAACATACACATTTTGATTAATTGAACAAAAACTGGGGGGGGGGATGATTTTTATGCGACATTCGGCATTTTACAGCCTTTGCAGATGAAAAGGGAAGCAAGCCCTCACTGTATTTTCCTCAACAAGAAGCAGAGACACGGCCTGATTAATAGCAGATGACTGGTTTCGTTTTGGTATCCAGGCTCACATTAACTGCGAGGCCAGTATTTTACCAGCTTTTCTTTGTAGCCCAGTATACCTCCTAACAAACATATCTCCATGGGGGTAGTGGTAGCCGCTTTTAAGAATGTCAAGAACTCTAGGGCCCCAGAATTGCCGTCCCCTCCCATAAGGAAATGAAGGAATGAAAAGAACCCACTTTTAACTGATGAACGCAAACTGTCCTGTGCGGGGCACACTTTCACTATCATCTCTAGACAATGCCCGGGACGACACATGGTCCCTCACAGGTTCCCCACCATACAGAAAGATCTTTCCAGATCACAGAAATTAGAGAGCGTCAAACAGTTCCTTCCACCAAGTTGCTCTCAGAAATCAACTTACCATGACTCCAATAACTGTAAATTCTGCTTTCACAGATAAAGCCCAGTAATTAAAAGTGGGGGAAATCAGTTTGGTTCATTTTTCTTCCACCCCAAAATGCCAATATCCTGTTTTTTTTTTTTTTTTTTTTGTTTTGTTTTTTGTGTGTATTTTTTTTTTTTTGCTTTTTTTTGGGGGGGGGGCTGGAAATCTGCATCGTATCGTTTTTCCTTTAAATTTACACAGTTCTCCAGCCCAAGACTTTTCTGAAAAGGGCTAGATTCCTAGATCTTGATTCTTGGCTTCCCAGGGCCAGCCCACTAGAGCCAGGCTGCAGGACACCTCATGGCCCTTCAGTCACTGGAAAAGCCAACTCCAAGAGAGAAGGCCCACTAGGGTGGAAGTGATTCTTGGGGCAGGCTAACAGGGACCAACTGCCAGGCCACCCTCTACTTATAGTTAACCCTTCCGATTCCTCCCCAGGCTGGCCTCATTTGGCATCTCAAGGCCCACAAGGGCTGCCCCACCCCATCCGTGCCCGCCCTGGGGAGAAGCCAAGGGCTCCAGTGCTGCGGCCCAGTGGGTGGGGTGGGTAGGATCCACAGGACAGAGGTGCAAAGTCCCTCCTGCCCTGGGCAACCTGCCTTTTCCCTGGAAAAGCTAGCAGGGCACACTTGTGGATGGAGCAGCTGAGGCCAAGTTTTTTGGAGGCTTCATAGTGTGGCTCAGCTGCAGCTGCACTGGTTGCTGAGGGCCAGTGGGGGCTTGGGCTGGAAACCCCATAGCGGCCACTACATCCACCAGCACCAGCAGGCACCGGAGTTGGCCCTGACAGGCAGGGCAGCCCTGAGAGCCTGAGAGCTGGCATCTGCCCCAAGGTGCCTGCCCAGAAAGCCAAGCACCACACTGGGGCGCTCCGGGGTGGGTGTCTGCTGGGAACTGCGGCCTTTCCATGGCCACCACCAGGGAGAGTCATCAATGACCCCACTTCCCAGAGCCAGACTCAGCCGGCTGCTGGGTTTCCTAGCCCCACGGACATGCAGAGCAAAACTCGCCAGTTTATGACCTTGATCCGCATGCATCTCCATTTGCCACAGCCTTCAACCTTGCCCCTCTTCTAACCTATCCTCCTCGGTCCAACTATCACCTATAGCCTGCGTTCTGGCCCCGTGCCCTCTCCAGCACCGTTTGGTTCCTGGTGCCCGGATGCCTGTCTCTACCGGGCACCTAGATCTGGCACTGCGTCCCTGCCGCGCTGGCGGACCTTCCACTGCACCTTGGTCCTTGCCTGGGCTTAATTAGAAGCTGTGTGTGCCTTTCCTTCTTCCCCAAGAAACAAGTCCATGGGTAGCGGGCTCAAAGGGAAAGACCGGGTCAAGGAAGAAAGAAGGGAAGAAGGCGAGCCACAGAAAAACAAAAAACAAAACAAAACAAACAAACAAACCAAAAATCAGGAAAGATGCTCTGGCGCACTTGGAGACCCTCCCTGTACTCCCCTCCCCCTTCGACTGGAAATGTGTGCCAGTAATGACTGCAGGACCCCCGGCAACCCGAGTAGGATACACTGAAAACCGAAGTCCTGGCATCCCACGAAAATTTAATAGGACCACAGCAGGAGTTTCCCAAATATATACCCTTCTAAAACCATTTGGTTATTTATACTACAAAGTGGCGAGTGCCTTGTACATTTGCTGTAAAAGCGCGCGGGGGACGGGGGTTCCTTTGGACAAACACTGAATAGGAAAACTTGGACCACAGGAAGAGCCTTGAAAACTGGGAGACAAAGTCGTCCAAACCATACGTTCCTTGAAAAACCAGCAAGCAAGCAAACAAAAAACAGAAGAAGGAAAAGTTGAGGGGAGCGTGGAGAATCTCAGCTTGGAGAGTGAGCAGAAATATTTTACCCTCCCGTGAGCAACAAACCGTTTATCACGACACCTCCCCCCTCCCCCACACTCACCGCCATTTCTACAAACTCTTTGCATTATCTTACACTTGAGCAGAAAATCGTTAGGAATATTTGGAAACGAAAACAATCTGTCATTCTCACAAAAAGGACAAAAACAGCACACGCGCACAGCACACACACATACAAAACAGACCTGACCAGTGCTATCTCTTTCTTTTCCGAGGGCTGAGGGGGGGGGGGGAACCTAAGTTGTTGAGTTGTGGATGTAGTAAGGTGATGGCTGATAAAGGAACATCAATTACTGATTCAAGAGGTGCTCTGTGCGCCCCCTCCGCACACTTTTCCTTGGTTGTAAACTTTACTGCCCTAAATCCACATCTAGCTTCCATAAGCTGCACCTCCTTGTGAATGAAACAATGTATTCTGCTAACTGGAATGAGGTGTGGAAACAGCTCACTGGTCGGAAAAGTAGAGGACTCAGTGCAATTCAAACCTCCAAACACCCTTCCAAAGAACTGAGTTTGGGCTTAGCCCTCTTATTCCAGGGGAGATTTTGTTATGCTAAAAGCGAGAAGCAGCTAAATTAAAATGTGATGCAGTTAGCACTACTTAGGAAGCTACTGGTCCTGGATTCAAATGAAGAACCTACTTTCAGTTAATTATTAGACTCTGCTCCTTAAAAATAAAGTGAAACCTGGGAGAACACGGACACTGTTCATAAGAATGAAAGGTCTGCCTTCACTGGTGTGGGGACTGTAAATGATCAGCAACAGAGAGGCAAGGCGGTGCTCACAAAGTGGCTTCCTTTGCCCACCCCACCCCCCAGCATGGATTCAAGGTAGAAGTTAGAAGTCAAGTTGTTACTGTAAAGCTCTTGCACCAAAGAGATTCTCGGCAGACATGGACGCAAAATAGAGCTCTGGGTTTTCAAGCAACACGAACAGATGAATTTTCCAAAATGGAAGTCTACTGCAATCCGAAGGAGCATCCAACTCCGACCAACTAAAATGACCCTGGGCATCCAGGAGTGGTGGCAGAGGGGAATGGGGGCCACTGGATCTAATGAGCTTAGAGGGAGAGGGGTGGGGAAGGTCTCCAAGGGTTCAGTAAACTCAAGGGCGAGAGGCCCCCAGACCACAGTGGTCTCCCAGCACAGCACAGCACAGGAGTCCCTCCTAGAAGCTGCTTTCGCTTCTCCTACTTCACACCTTCTCCCAGCCTGTCCCCTTGTGGCACCGCACCACATTTCACACCTGTATCAGCCAGGGATTCTATGCAAGCAGTTGTGTGTGTGTGTGTTTATTGGTGTTTACCGTCAACACTATATAAATCACAGCAATAAAAGTAAATGAAAGCCCGGCGTGCACAACTTTTTTTCTTCTTCTTTTTCTTCTTTTAAATCTCCCATGAAGTTTGCTTGGAAAGGTTTTCAGTCTATCCTCACCTCAACTTCTAACAAACCACTGGTGTCCTGGATGTTGTGCATGAACACAAGCTCAAGCCCCTCTCAGGTTGACGGGACTCAAATTTTTATCCTCCACAGCTGATCATTTCCTCACATAATGAATACTCCCTGTGCCAGGAGCGGCCTCAGCAAACACATTAAGGACATACATGCACCACCCTCTAAGGTACTCTCCACCATGGCACTCCACTCCACCCCCCCCACACACCCTCAAACGCTAAGTTTCCAACAGGTTTCCAAAAGTTTCACAACCAGCCTTCTTCATCCCTACAGTCTTGTTTGGAGAGTTGTCAGGGATCTTTAAACTGGACTGGCTGAGCTAATAATCTTTGCACCCCGCTACAGCTACATGGGTAGATGACTTTCGCCATTTAGACTTTCAGAGTTTACAGGTTGGGCACAATCAGAACTCCTCCCTTCGAATGGAAGCCAGCAGGTGAGGGCACCAGGGAGACCCCTCCCGACTGTCACTGTCCGGCTGGCAGAGGACGCACCCGGCAGACCTCAGTGTGGTGTGGCCTGCACTGAGTACACTGTGGTCTCACACTTCTGCTTAACCACTGACTAAATACTAGCGGTGTGCAAAACCTTTAAAGTGGGAAGCATCGGGCAGAACGGTCAGGTCTGACAATAACCAGTGTGCCACTCAAAGGTCTCTGCAATACATTCGGGAAAATGCAGCCATGCCCCCGCCCAACGTTGGCCCACAATGCTGGTGCACGCCCCCGCTTTGCACTCAGGGGACAGAGCACAGTCAAATGGCATTGACAACACGCAGACTAGGTGAACACCAAGGACAGGCTCCGCCAGTATGAGATGGAGGGGAAGGAAAAAAGCAAACCGAACAAGGGCCCCCTTCCTCCAAAAAACACGTTTACCTAAACGTCGCAGTGTGTGTCCAGGCTGTTGCTGCTCCACTAAAAATTATGGCAACGCAGGAACCGTGGGTGTGCGCGGGTGGGCCGGGTGGGGAGCCTCCCTTTCTGGGTCCCGTCGTTTTTATTTAGGGAGCGGGAGGGGGAGGAGGGACGGCTGGGGGAGGGAGGAATCCCAAATTAAAATAACCCCCGGATAAAGAGGACGTTTTGGTGGCATCGGGTATTCACACCAGCAAGACACATTACATTCGCCTTCGCCAGATGGCGGCGGGTTCAACTTCCCGGGATCTCGCAAAGTCAGGCAGTGCGCCCAAACGCGCGCCGCTGTGTGGGCAGGCGGGCGACCCGGGACAGTCGGGAGCCTAGCTGCGCGGGCCGGGGACCGGGACGGGGTCGCGCGCCGGGCTCACCGGTTCCGGACGAGGAGGTCTCCGTCCCCGGGGAGAGGCACTGGGCAGTCCCGGCGCAGGGTGACGGCCTCGCGGAAGTTAGGGCTCAGCCGGGTCACCACCAGCTTCTGCATGGCTCGGGGGATGGCGGAGCCCTGGAAGTCCAGGAAGTGACGGGCGTACGACATGTCCACGATGGCTCGGGCCCCGGCGGCCGTCAGCCTCAGCATAGCCCACGATCGGCTCCGCCCGCTCCTGCGCCTACGCTGGCCCGGGTCGCGCCCAGCCCCGGCCGCTTGGCTCCGCTCGGCTCGGCGCGGGCGGGCCCGCCCCTCCTCCGGCCCGCGCCCTCCCCTAGGCTCCCGCCCTCCCCTCACCGCCTGGCTCCCGCCCCCGCCCTCCGGCCCCGCCGCGCGCCGCAACCCCCGCGGAACCGGGGCGCGCCACCCCAGGATCCCTGCCCGGCCCCGCGGCCGCCGCGGCCGCCGCAGCCGCTGCTCCTTTAATCTTTTTGTTTTGGTTTGAATCCGCTGGGCTCACGCTGGCCTAGGATCTCCTCCGCCCTCCCCTTTCCTCCGGGCTCGGGAGAGGCCCCGGATATCCCCACCCTCCCCACGCTCTGCGACTGGATTTGATTCCTCCACCGGGGGCGGGGGGCGCCAAGCTAGAGGGCCAGCGCCCTGGCGATCGCCGCCGCCGTAGCCTAAGCGTCCCCGAGCGGCGCGGCGGCCGGCGGCCGGCGCAGGCGCCTCCCCTTCCCGTGCGAAGCGTTCACTTCCTTGCAAGGTGGTACGAATCAACCCCGAGCGCGGCCGGGGCGGCAGGGCACGGCCGGGTCCCGGGCCTGGGCCGGGCGGGGAGCCCGCCGCTGGGGCACGGTGCACGCGCACCAGCACCACCCTGCTGGCCCAGGGCGCTCCAAGCACTGTGCATCCCCGGCCTAGGCCTCCGGGGCTTCGAGCGCGTCGCTCGCGCCTTGTCCCGTGCAAGTTGCACGAACTAAGCCATTTTATTTATCTTGGCCTAGATTTCGTGTTTTTCCATGGATGTTTTAAGTAGTCCCACAATACTGTTACAGCTTTCCTAGTGGGAGAGAACACACATAACAGAACTAGAAGGCCGAATTCCCAGAGCGCAGAAGCATTTTAAAGTTCTAGGTGGGGCCGCGGAGGGGCTCAGCGGAATGGGAGACTTTGTAATGATCCACGAAGACTTCTTTCTCTCAGTCATCTAGAAAGATCCGTCTTTCTATTGTGCCCCCAAATGTTTTTTAGCTAATTGTGGTCATTGACTAAATAATTGGCCAAATAATTCACCTTTTAAAAAATAGGGGGCTACATTAAATATTTCCGGACATTTTGTGATGAGCTAAGTCCATCTTTAAGTTTCTATTTTAGGTGTGCGTTTTAATTTATAAATAATCCCTGTTTTCCACTAAACCTGTAAATTGCAGAAATAACAAAAGGCACACCGTC